GCAGGTGACGCCACTTTTCATCCAATCCATTCTTTTGGATTTAATAGACAATAACCAACAAAATTTCTTACTTCTATAAGATATCATACAAAGTATAATTCTTGCCTATAAAGCTTTGTATTAATCTTAAACTTCTAAACAAATCATCATCTTAATCGCCGGAAAACATGTTACCAGGCACTACCGTGAGGGTAATCGTTGAAAAAGGGACAGATCGTCGTCCGCAGTTTCCACCCTCAAGTCTAGTAAACCAAGAAAATGAAGACAGGAGTCCCGTGGCCTAACCAGCCCATGCGACTTTAGCGTGTAGAGGCGTTTTGATAGCTAATAGTCGGCACAGTCATCGATCGACCCGAGAGGTACATTCCGGAAAAGTGGTTCACGGTATTACGTCAGATGCAGTTGCCGTGAAACAGCATATTAGCACGCCGTCGACGAACCTGAACTATCTTCACCTCGGACGAACGAATCGGTCTGCTGGTTACGGTTGACCAGGATCTTTTTAGGTGGGTCTACGACTGAGGCTACAGTTGCCAAATTCTATTATATATTTATAAATAATAATACTTATATTCTTTTCTTTTTGGATGTCCAAATTAAATTATTGATATTTCCTGTGATGAATCGGTGTGGTGATTTTCGCTGAACCATGCGCCGCCACACGTCAACGCTGCTAGTACTTTTCCAACTTGCGTTTTCGGCACAAGGAGTGATTCCGACTTGTTCAAATTAGTTCCTGGGACCTGCTGGTTGCGTCACGCTGCACGAATGCTTGTATTTAACGAGTCGCAAGTCATCCTTGTATTTCAAATCGAAGACTGCATCTCCACCACCTTTTATTAGTTCTCGTTGATCTCCCCCCCTCCCCCCCCCCCCCCCCCCAATTAGACGAGGCCACTACCCTTTGGTAAGTCCTGATCCAGCCACTTGTTTATGCTCTCTTATCGTTGTGAGTACTGCCACTATGTCTTCGCACTTCAGGCGTTGTGATTGTGTTTGCTTCAAATCTCCTCACTGTCTCTTAGGTGGTAAGAGAACAGATAGTCTTGATACAAAAGAGTTGCAGCTTCTTGCGTAGAAGTCTAAGGTGGCGCAAAATTTTGTTGCAGTGCTCGTCTAACAAAGAAAAATGTTTTGGGGCTGAACAGAGATAGCACCTCAAGCATATATACTTCAATCATCTTGTTGACACGCTTGAATGGAGAATAAGCTCATTACCCGAGTTGTCAACCGTACGAAACAGAGACTGACTCTAAGAATTGGCCTTCACAACCGCTTTACCAAACTAGCTGTTATTGAAATTGGCGAGGAGTACAAGGTGAAGACTGGTTTGCACTGGACTTATCAGGAGTTAACACTAGAAACCGGTATCTTTGCGAAAAAGCTCGTCATCAGCACGGATGACTGCTTCGAGAGTGAGCGCATCACCATTCACGATTTACCAGGAGGCAAACTTGAGGCTAACAAAGTCCCTCGGACCCAGGTTCCAACTAGTGAGGTCGAGCGAACCGACTCGACGTGGGATAGTTGGTTCTGCCTGCCGCAGTCCTTAAGTTTAAATTTAAGGTTTTGCAGTCAGGATGAGTGTAGATAATCCGACTATTGACGGTGTGTAAAACAAACACACTGGAAGCATATTTTGATACTGAATACAACAAATTTCGCACACAAAAATATCAGCTGTTCGAGAGCATTATTCTCAAACTTGTGTTTGCTCTTCAGAGCTCTGAATATTCACACGCGAATCAACCTCTGGGTCATCAAGAGCAATCCCACCAACACACGATTGTCCTCAACTACAACCTTTCCGTCCCTCAAAAACACCAGACAACGAAAAGCACCTAACCGAGTCGCGATCTAACGTGGTCCTGCTCAGTTCAGATAAGTTGGATGACGTCGATCGTCCCGCTGTTCATCGGCGGCTTTACAACAAGGTTATTATTTTCAACAAATGGGGTCGTGCGGTGGCCGCGAGGCGCGGCGAAGGCGTGGCTCTGCTGGAGCGAGGCGCCTGGAAGGCTGAAGCAGAGATGGAGAAGCAATTGGTTGGGGGGGGGGGGTCCAGGAAAACAGCGATGCGAGATGAGAAAGGGAGGAAGGAGGCAGGAAACCACAAATGATCCCGTGGCCCTATCGAGACGCAGCAAGAGCGGCAGAACTGCGCAGTCCAGACCGGCATGGGCATTGCTCCATCGCCGCACCATCGCCGCACCATCGCCGCACCATCGCCGCCCCATCTCGAGATACCTGGTCGCTACTTCGTTCATCATCATTCATCCGATCTCCGATGCTGTCAGTCAAGAACTCTATTTTGGCGCCGACCACGTCATCATCGTCCAGCGTGTCAGTGACCCATGCCCGCTCTGACGTGTCATATGTTCATCTACCGCCCACCATTACATCCATGTCTTCTGTCCATCCGCTAGTGTACAAATTTGTAGGGCTACGGAGACATGTACTCTCAACATCTGATGATTTCAGCGGTTAATTTTAATGTAGATTTGCAATAAATTTTCCCCCGTTCTTAGCCCTTCTATTCCCATCCCCACTATTTGCACCTGTCTCTTATTCACATTCCCATTTTATGAAAAATGGTATATAACTTTCAAAGCAATTCATGTTTCTTACTTGGGAAACCAATCCTAATCTATCTACGTAGATACATTAAAAATATAGATAAATTTAAAATAATTAGTAATAAATAATATAAATAAAATTACTTTTAAAATTAATTTTTCATTTTCCGAGTTTCTATTGTCCATCAACCTTTTGGAATGAAAAAATAAAATACACAATAAAAAATACATTAAAAAGAACAAAAAATAGGAAGTAACAAGTTGTACAGAAATTTAAGTCAAAAACCTAAGTACAAATTCATTTCCCTTTTTTAATTCATTGTCAAACATAACGTCAACGTGTTATGTTCAAGTACAACAAAATTTATTTTATGAAATGCAACCGTCTTTTGTGCTGCATTAGAAAAAGGTAGGCATGGGTTCCTACATGTACTTACTAACATGGTACGTAAGCCAACGTAATAAACATATTGAATATGATCCGATTTGATTTAATTGCGAATACTTTAGAGTTCAATACTTTTCCGGCGATGATTTCTGAACGTTCGTTGGCGTTAGACAAATGCACGGAAGGATCTTACAAAAGGCCTTCGTCGTGGTCCTCCCGAAATCCTAATCTCGAGGCGACCCACGTTTCGCGCGAGTCTTCATGTCGGCCAATGTTGTAGGACCGTGTGACGGACCCTCAGGTGGAATCACTGGAGTACCAGTATACTGTACAATTCTATTCTATTCTATGCAATAGAGTGTGGATTCCGAACTTCAGACAATGGATCTTCTCAGAGTGACAGTCCGACAAGTAGTCCAACAATCCAGATAGGTCCTTGGTCCGACTTAATGCAGCCCTTTCCAACTGCGCGTCTTCTGAATCCCCTGCACCTGATCGACCACTGCGTTTACAGCTTTCTCTGACCCCCGACGACTGGTTGACCCAAGCTCTGCAAAGCTGCGTGCGGAGTGTTTTTTTTGGATAACCTGCTTCCCCTAGTTTCACATCGTAGTTTTCACGACGGAACGCAAGTTCATTGAGAGTGTTGTTGCTCCGCGCGTGGTCAAGTTGTTATTAAGCGCCGCTGAACGCGTGAACTAATCTGCGGGGTGTGAGATTCACCGTTCAGGGGGAAGGATTCACGTCAGCAAGTCACTGCGTTTGAGATGAATGCAGGAAGGTCGGCAATGGTTGTTGGAGTCGGAATTCGTGGTGCAGATTGGGATGGACACAGAATGGGAAATTGTCTCGCATGGGAATTGGGTGGACATGAGCTGAATTGTGTCGGTATTGTGAGATGTCTCGTTGAAAAGTTGGAATTTATCCGGATTCATGCTCATGTGCAAATGTGTACAGACGAACGAGGAAACCAAATAATTTCATGGCTTCGTATTACGAAAAGTGTATTAATGGTTTTGAGGTTTTGATCAGTCCAATTTTGCACACTTCTTACTTTTTGCTCACTTTAAAGTGCTGTTCGTCAAAGAAGACAGGCTTAGTAACTTGAGATTTGTTAACAATTTTTTCGTGAATGGTAATTCATATGTGTGGGTATATATATATATATATATACAACATTATTTAAACTAATATTTCTAAGAATTGGTTCAAGAGCCATTAAAGTTTGAGTTGTTTTTCTATAAAAGTTTATATACGTGTATATATATATATATATATATATATCCACATATATAGATAAAAAATAAACAACAATAATATTTTGATGTTTTGAATGAAAATTCAAATAATTAGTTCTTAATCTATTGATATAACATTTACAAGCTAATTTTGTCCACTAAGAGTCAAACTTATTATGAAAAATCATTGATTGTAAGTTAGTAAATTATATCACAGATGTTACCTCAAAAAATTGCATGATAAAATGAAATCTTAAGTTTTTAAAAGAACCCAAACACTTAGAAAATTAGAAAATAAAAAATAAAAAATAAAAGTAGACTTGTAGATTGATATGTGAATTATCTTTGACCTTGATAAATTGTATCACACCACACATTATTCCAAATATATAACATCACTACAATTTTAAGCAAACATAAGAGTTTATATGCTTGTAAACTTGAGAATATCTTCTGTACGTTTGAGGACATCTATATTTGTAAAATCTATGTTAAAATTATATGAAAACCAGATGTAAACTTTAATTTTTTTAAAAAAAGAAGCACTTATTTATACAGTGTTGTTGTCGTTATATACTGAACTTTGTTTTTTGTGCCCCACATAACGTCCATCCTTCCTTATATATTTGAAATTTATCATGACGTCTAGAATCTTCTATACAAATTACACTTATTCATGCTGACCTGCGAGGCTTACAAAGCCATGCAACCTAAGGCTGATGCGCAAACATATTTAATTAATGGGGATGGGCGGCGACATCAGAATGTGGTGTAATACAAAAGTCATCTCACGCAGCTGTTAGAAGCTGGTGAGGCAGTCATTTACATCATTAAGAAAGTCATAGAAAAGAGAGTGCTTTCTTTCAGCTGCAAAGGATGTTCATCAAACCTGTTAATGTGGTCGGTATTCACTGGAGGAGAAAAGAGCACCTCCGTCAGCTTGGAGCTGCCAATCACATGGGGGGAACCAGCTTCTTAGCGTGTTCATCGTTTCCCATCGTATTCAGCATCGTTCAAAGGAGCGTACAAGTCTTGAGACGTCACGATAGTCCAGTGTCAAGCAATAGTGAAGTACCTTTTTCGGGATCCAGGGTGGGTCAGAGACTTCTATAGCATCAGAATGAAGGAGCTTTGGAGCTGTTGGGAGTGTATCAGCAGCAGCTCGGGAAGAGACGGACGTAGTAGCTGAACATTCTTGACGACACTGAGCCGCAGAGTTTCTTCTTGTTTCACTCGTTGTTCACTACATAGTGCCTTGTGACGGAGAGAGGGGAGATAGAGCGTTTCATTGGAGCTGCAAACGGGTGTAGACGAAGGCATAGCCTAGCACCAGTGCATGGAGTGAGAGAACAGGTGCAGTTATACAGAATTACAGCTGAACGCAGCCAGTCGTGATTATTCGGGAGGATTGAGTGCTTGAGGTGAGAATCTTGGCAAGGGAGCCGAGTTGAGGTAGCGGGAGAAGGAAACTAAAAGGGCGAGTTGAGAATGACAGCAAAGGTAGGGGTGCAGCAGTGTGGGTTGCAGAGTTGGGAACTGGATTGTCTCACGACGCGCACGGTCTACCAGAAGAAAGTGTTGGAAAGCTTGCATCGGTTCTTGATTGTAGAAGATGAGAACCTAGATCATTTCATTCTAGAATCTCAAAACGGCCAGCTTCCCTACCGCTGCCCCGTCCCCCTCTCGCCAAAGTCGCCATTGCCGTTCCTCACAAGCAACTTTACCTCCTCATCAAGCCGGCAGACTGGCGGTGCTTATGGCGTTCCTTGCTCCTCAGGTCAGTTGATCAATGGAGCTTGCACCAATGGCGACGTATCCACCAGTGAAATGGACCAAGCCTGCGACAATTCATCTCAGAACAGCAACAGTAATAAATTGATCAGCACTTTGAAGAGGAAGTTCGGGGGCAGTTTCGTAAAAGAGGTTCGCTCGACTATGAAACCATTTGTCAAGGAACTGACCGAGGGCGATTTTCTCTGCTTAGACAACCTGCAAGAGCAGCCAGTAAGCATGTGGAGCAAAGAGACGTCAAGCACTGAAAGTTCAAATTCCCTTACAACTCGGCGTCCGGCGATATCTCCTCTGACAATTCCTCCCTCGCCACAGCCCGACAACCCGGCGCCCATCCGTTTGAGTCCTTGGTTCACAAAGGCGCTTTCAGTGCCGCTCTCCAGAAGATTTTCGCAGAGAGTTCTCAGGACCCTTGCCGATGGACCAAAACGACTCCGACGACATGTTCATTTACTCGATCCTGAAGGACGCCTCGCATTCAGCCGCCGATTCCTCTATTCTGCAAGAGACCACCTTTGATCCTATGAAAAGCATCCAGGTCAAAATTAAGCAGGAACGATCACCTCGAGCCACCACAACCTCACAGAAGCCTGCGGAAATGAAACCATCTGTTAAATCGCACTACATTGGCGTCAGGCGAAGGCCATGGGGGAAATTCGCAGCTGAGGTCCGAGATTCAAAGAGGAACGGCGTCTGGGTATGGCTAGGAACTTTTGACACTGCGGAGCAAGCGGCACTAGCTTACGACCGAGCGGCCTTCAACATGCGAGACTCTCGCGCTATTTTGAACTTCCCCACGAGGATCACAACCGATTCTTCCTAACCAAAATCATTGCCACTCGCTGCACAGCTCAACACGTGCACCTCACGTCACAGCAACAGAAAGATCAGAATTCTTCACTGCTATCTGTCTTTTAGAAACGACACACTAAGCTTGATAGCAGCCATCTCTTACACTGAGGCATCGATTTACTGCAGCAAAAAGAGGCTTGCGTCTGAGGTCGTTTTAAAGAGCAGAGAAGAAATAAAGCGGCCGCGTGTGCACATGGTAGATGTAAATTAAGAGACACGCTTCCAGATGATCGCATTGCGAATTATAATCTGTACAATACTCTCGTGCCTCTATAACAATTCATCCTCAATTCTCACACAGATTGTTGCAATGAGGTGCAGCGTTTCGATGAGGACAAGTAGTCCAAGAGGGAGCGGTGTGGCTTTCTCGGTGACACCATTTGGGCTCTTCCTCACGGGGGTTTGACAATATGAGAAAAATTGCGGCGCCATGGATTTTTCCTTTGCTTACAAAGAGCACCTCAGTTTCTGTCGGTAGCGAAGCCCAGATCAGACGCCCTCTTCCGTCGTCGACGCTTCGCCACTGACGACGAACCGTCGCATGAGCAGATTTTATCGTCTGCTTGAGCGCCGGAAATTCAATTCGTTCGTCTGCGAGTGCAATGCCCCACCACAAATGTGATCAACGTGATTCTTTTAATTGAAATCGGGTTTCCCATATGAATTAGTTCACAAGAGAGTGTGTATTGTATTCTATTTAATATAGTACCACTGGATTCTCTATTTCGGTTTATATATAGATATATTGCTTTATTCTTGAAATAAATGTAGTATTGCTGTGCTTATTAATCAGAGAAAAACAGTTTGGATATTATGACATGCTGATGCAGAGAGATTGGATAGAGTTGAATGTTTCTGTGGTTGATTTAGAGTTTCGATGGATCTGCGTATGGAACCGTTTTATTTTTGTAAAGCATTTTCATAGTATAAATATGAAGATTCAAACTCATTTTCAATCAAATTAAAAACTTATATATAACTACAAGGTATTTTTAAAGTTTGCAGTTATGTTGCTAATTTTTTTAATAAAAAAAATCCAGAATTATTATCATTATTATTATCATGATGGTTGAAAGTCTTACATAACCCTCTGTGAATTGGATCAACATTGTTTCTTTGGCCTATAATTTAGGCATTTATTATGTTAAAGTTGATTGAAGTATCTCCCTCTTTCGTCTGATGTTTTTTAAACTCACTGTTTTGTCAAAACGAAATCACAAGTATTATTTATGTTGTATAACATATAGACTCAATACAATAAAACATCATTACATCAAACTATTTTCATGTATACATATTGACAAATATGCAAAAAATCATCCTCAAGCTTTAAAAAGTAGTGAAATTCATTAAATTAGAGATGGAAAAGGCTGATTTTAACACGCAATTACTTGAATGGTTTTTATTTTATTTTAAAATTATTTTATATTTTTTAAAAATGATTAAAAAATTTACATCCAATTATCATCATTCAATGTTTTTATCAACCAGAATTTCAGAAATATTTTGATACACTTATCACCCTCAATCACCATCCACCATAAACTCATCCATCATATCATACACCCATCTACCCGTCCACAGATCAACACATCCATGTCGTTCGTGTATTTCATCCATCCATCTTCGGAGGTGAGCACTTGTGAAGAAGGCGGAGACGAAGCCGGAGAAGCTCTTTCTCACCTCCTCTTCGGCCGCCATCTCCAGCGTCGTGAGCAATCTGCTGCAATGGTATGTCCTCTCTGCGCCTCTCATCACTTTTTCAATCTTTGCATTGTTACTTTCAAGTCGTTTAGTCGCTTTGAGGGCGAGAGATTAGCGTTGGCTTACTTTTGGAATTTTAGGGTTAGTGGTGGCAGTGCATCTCTTGCAACAGTGGGACACTGATTAGGGTTTCCGCAATGCTAGTGGTTGCGCTTCCAGGTAACGTTAGATGGGACGTGATACGAAAGAACGATGTTTATGATTTGGTTTTTTTTGGGTGACTCAGGCTTCGGAAAAGAAGATGCAGAACTCCATGCGGGAGATTAAAGTGCAGAAACTTGTCCTCAACATTTCCGTAGGAGAGAGCGGCGACAGATTGACTCGTGCGTCCAAGGTATATATTCATTATTATGCTTCTGGGTTCGTCTAAGGTTTGGAAATTTGAACGCCTGACGATTTCCCTAAGATTATTGTAACCTATGTCACTCGGAGTTCGTTAGAGTAACCGAGATTAGTTCCTTATCAATGCTGCAATTCTCTTTCAGGTGTTGGAGCAACTGAGCGGACAATCTCCTGTCTTCTCAAAGGGTATGTTCACATGCTTGTCGTGCTGTTTAGCACCTCTTAAGTACAGTTGTGTAGGTTTTACATCTATTTTGGTTTTTGGAGTTCGGTTTCGCCGATTAGGGTTTCACACTTAAGGGTTTGTCTGACGCCATCATTCGCTCCTGTTCCGGTGTGCAGCAAGATACACTGTGCGTTCCTTTGGAATCAGGCGTAATGAGAAAATCGCATGCTACGTCACTGTTCGTGGTGAGAAAGCCATGCAGCTTCTCGAAAGTGGCTTGAAGGTGAAGGAATACGAGTTGCTGCGCCGCAACTTCAGTGAATCTGGTTGCTTTGGATTTGGTATCCAGGAGCACATCGATCTCGGAATCAAGTAAGTCTTGTTGTTTGACTGGCAACTTCGGCATTTGATTTACATTTTTGTAAAGAGCAGCAGTCGATACACAACTTCGAATTGGGTCTCATCAACTGCTCAGTTTCTTTTTCCTTTGTCGGCGGAAGATAAACTCTGTCTCTTCTCTGCTCATGTAATTTTACTGCCAATGGTCTTCAGGTACGATCCATCTACAGGTATCTACGGTATGGACTTTTACGTTGTCCTTGAACGCCCAGGATACAGAGTGGGGCGAAGAAGGAGAGCCAAGTCCCGTGTTGGTATTCAACACCGTGTGACCAAGGAGGATGCCATGAAGTGGTTCCAGGTTAAGTACGAGGGAGTTATCCTGAACAAGTCCCAACAAATTGCCTAGTTCTTCGTATCTGTTGCATGTCTCAAGTCCTAGTCCTTCATCCTTTCCAAGGATGTTCATAGGCTGACGCTTTCTTTTTCATGCAGCTGATTAAGCTAAGTTAAATATGATCCTACTGTCTCATGATTCAACCTTTATTGGTTTACTTGCCACTGTGAGATGATTGACTTGGGGTTGAATGAATCTTGGAATTAGTGTTTATCCTTTATGCTTTGTGTGATAAAAATAAATAAAAATGGATGTGGCAACCATGTACTAGCTCTCACCCTCTGCACTCGCGTCTAAGTTTGATTTCGAGTGTTTATGCTAATGAATTCAATATGCAGACCCACTAAGAATCCACCACGAATGGATTAGATTTCGGAGGTTGTTCATAGGCGTAACTGCAGTTTCTTAGTGTAATTCAGCATTAATAAAACCTGGTTGCGTATCCACACTAGAAACAACACCCAAAGAAGCCAATGTTGTTTTCGATCTTGGTACTAAGTGTTATCTATGAAGTGTAAATTTTCTTGATTCACCTGAATTTGATTCCAACTCACGGAGGTTGTCGAAAACACTGGTGTCAGTCTTCAGTGACTTCTTTAATCAAGATCAGAGAAATACCGCGTTATTGTCCCTCACTCCCGATCGCGCCCGCTTTCGATTTACTAACGTTCGTTATTTTGCGTACTTCGGTAGTGACGAAGCGTCCCGGTAACTAACTATTCCAACAATTCTCTATGTCCTGAAGGATCCTTGAGAACATGGATACCCCCGCCCAGATTTGGTTGCAATCTCAATAGCATTGAGATTGCAACTCTTACCGAACTGGTGTACAAGTTTTCAATTATGTCACTGCGAATCACAAATAGAATTACCTTTCCTAGAACGTAATGATTACTTGATAGTGAAATTTGAACTGATCTGTTGAAGGTTACAAGATTCATTGTTTCTAGGAATAAGTTCTTTGATACAAAATGAGTCGGATGGAACTGAATCTGTTAAAACCCATGTTACTATATCATTCTTTTTCCTCGTACACATGACAAAATCTAACACTAAAATTAATAAAATACAGTGACCTAGTTATGGTTAAAACTTAATTGTAATCCTAATGCGTATTCTGTAGTATTTTTAACCACATTAGTTAAATATCATACTTAATTTTATTCTTCTTCTCTTCTTGCCGTTATCGTACTGTAAACATTAAGGACATAAATAAACGCAAACAAAAATATATTGATTGTGGTTGTTCTGATTTTTTTGGTCCTGAAATTTCTTTCTTAGAACCTTATCCCCCTCAACCTGGAGAAAATCACATTGTGATCAATTAGATTTTATTATCTTGGAATAAATTTTGTGAAAACAATCTCCTCTTAAACCAGAAGTGAACAACTAGCAACTGGTTTAGTAAAATGCAAAATAAATTGGTGTTCAGTAAATTGTCCTGAATTCATTCGGAGGATTTATTTGAGACAACTTTTTGTAGTGTATCCAGTATTTTACCAGATTTTGTTTATATAAATATATATATATATATATATATATATATGCATATTTTTTTTGTGGCGTGGCGTTTGTTGGGCAAACGGAGGTTGCCGTGAGAATTGACAACTCCCTCTACTGAACAGCAGTGAGGACATCGCATGGTCATATAACCATAATCGAACCATAAAACCATGGCCGACTCTGAGCAGCCTGCGTGGGTGATGCACGTGATGTAAGCGTGTGGTAGGTGATATGGGGACATGATACTTTCTCCAAATGATCGCCATTGATTCGAGCCATGCGTTTATGCTCCAAGGAGCCAAGTCAGAAATCTGATTCCTATGGGAGTTGCGTCGGTGAGTGGTGGGTGTGACGCGGAAAGAGAGGGGGCAGAGTCGGTGACAGTGAACTCTTAGGCTTGTTTATCAAACATTTGCAGTGGCCGCCTAAAGCTTTCGCCCAGTTGGGCTGGATAGCTTATGTAGCTTCCAAACCTTCTTTGGATATTTGAGACTCTGTGGGGGTGGTAAAGTGAGTGGGTCGTATTTAGCGATGATTATAACATGCCTGCGATGCAAAATGGTTTCACGATCATCAAAGATGCAAAAATCCTGGCCCATCCCTTCATCCTCTATCACAATCTTTCACCAAATTCCAATGTATAAGCGTCAATTCTCACTACTGAGAGTCCCATTCCTCTCCATTCAAGCTACTCACAGCGAAATAGTAGTTCGTTGACATGGAACGATATCAATCGGGAGTGCTGCAGCATCTGCACCATCCAATCAACAGGTCAAACTGCGCGTTGAGTTTTCTGCAGCGCCGAGTGTAACTGCGCACATCCTCACCGCAGCCTCCGTACGCCCAACATACGCCACACCATAGCCGCGGCCTTCCGCATCACCGCAATGAGCGTTGGGAACAGAGAATGGGTCGGGATGAAAAACAATAAAGAAGGTTGGGAACAAAGAGAGCTGTGTTGGGAATGAGTGGTGTGGGTTGATTTAGTGAAAGGATGAGTCACTTATAGAAATATATATATATATATATATATAAGATAAAGCAGCACAGGTACAAGATAAAAGGACAAAAATGGATTCTAATTGGTTGTTAAAAGGAGACTAAAATTGAATGTGATTGGCTATTGAGAGGGAACTTTGATAATCTAGGGAATGCAGAGTGGTTGGGTAATAGCTTAGTCTGTAGAGATTGCTGCCAGGCTTCTGCTTGCGGTTGTGCTAGCTTCTGTGGGCGTAGATTAAGGCTGTCGATGCCAAGGAAGTGATGGAAACTCTTATGCGTTGGAGTTAAATATTACGTGCACATAGGGGTAAAATTCCAATGATTGGTTATTCTGTTGATTTCTATTCACGTTGTTATTGCACGGATGTTGATGTGCTGAAACAATTCAAATGCCGGTTCATGTACTGTAGCTTTGTGTTAAATTAGGCCACTTCACTGTTCATGGTCGTTTAGTTACTTTGCAATTAATAGTTGAGTGTCCTATCTTTAATCATTACATCATCCTAAACACTTCAGCGATTGGTGATTTTTAAGGTTACATGCAGTTTAATTTGTTGTTTGCACTCCTACTGATTTATGACGTGATTTTCCATGTATAGGTTTTGAAGTGGACTATGCAGCAACCATGGTGCTAGAATGACTTCGATTTGAACTCAAAAATGGCTAATATGCTTCATACTAATGGAAATCTATCACATGCCACACTGATTGAGGTTTCAGAGCTTGTGTAGAATTTGAATCAATCAAGTATTCTAATGGCTGCTTGATTCATTCTGAAGCGAAGGAAAATAAACAACTGCTAAGATGGTTAAGTGTAGCAAAAGTGAGGAGTTTATTTCTGTTATCATTGTCTTTTGAGGATTTTTGCAAGAGATCTTGTAGCGATGACAGATAGTGGATAGAAGGGATAGTCTTACTAATGAAATTTTGATAAAAAGAAAGAGTATGCTCAAGTTTCTGCAATTCCTAATGTACTTAATTCTTCCGAATTGTGAATGTCGGTGCACGAGTCACAATTTCAACAAGTTTCATAGTATTTGCATGCTTTATCAAGGATTGTGGCCATTATTGTTGGGGGTATCTGCTATGTTTGAATTCTGTAGGACTTGGACACAAGTTTTCGTGACAGACTCCAAAGTGAAAAGCATTACTGCTTGATGAGGAAGATGATGCTGAACCTATTGAAGCTTTGAAAAAGTCTGCTGAGCTTGAAAAAACAAAGAAAGTAAAGAATCTTTTTCTAAAAGGTATATCATTCTCTTGATAGATTTTCTTCGATTGACGAAGTATATACGTAAATACACCAACGGCACAAAGTCTTTTCGAAAGAGAGATGTAAATGTGTGTGTGTGCACAAGCGCGAGTGCATGTGAGCTTCTCTGTGGGTGTGAGGGCTGAAATCCAAGTGAATCATTAAACGTTGTGCATTTGACGATGCTGGACAGGTCTCCAAAATTGGTTGTTGAAGTTCCAGTTCACTTGGATTGAAAGGTGGTTACAGAGGGACTCAGATTTCTATGTGGGCTAGGGAGGATCAAGGAAGAAATAACCGCAGGGAGCATATAGAGTTGCTAGGTTTGCAGGTGTGAGGTCACCCATAGGTAGTTTTTATTCCTCCAGAGCGCTATTCATGGTTTTTGGATTTTGTTGTTGCCATTGAGGGTTCTTTGCCTTTTGTTATTTTCTTTCTGTTTATTTATTATTATTATTATTATTATTAAAGTTGATTATATTCTTTGTATATTTTCTTGAAGCTGTGACACAGTTGTCGACCCGACGATACTTAAAATTTTCTCAAATATTGGTTTGTCAGCTGCGGTTGAGTAATCCAGTAGTATTATTACAGCGATAGTCCTGCTCCAATCAGACTGTTCTTACCACAATGCAAGCGAGTACATTCCAGCGAGCATTGAGCTTCTGTGCTTGATTGTGGGTTTTGTTGTTTTTTTTTTTGGTCTTTGGTCTTTGGTTATTGTTCTGGTAGGGTTTGTTTGTATTGTGACAAATTCAAAGAGGTTATGCAGGTTGGAGGTTACCCTTTTTGCGATTAATGCATCGAATTCTCAGCAGCTAGCATTGAACTTCTGTTACTTTAAGTGCATTGTTTGCAAGAGCATCGGTGTCTTTGGAGCAATTTTTTTAAAAATCGAGCTAATTAATGTCTCCTTCTCATTAGTGAGTTGCAAGAGAATCAATTTAGAAAATTTAAATTGAGATCAATGAAGATTAATGTTGTTTAAACAAAGTTGGTACTTGATTTGTATACCTCTTGGATTAGGTATGAGCAAAAAGTAAAAGATTATAATTTAGGAAGTTTTAAAAGGTTTAAACTCAAGAATATAGATTTGTTGTAGGTGATGATTTGTATGCTAGGATTTAAAATTAGTAAATATATTAAAAATTTTAAACTAGTCTTAGAACTAGGCTTTTGCACTGATATTGTCAAAAACATGATTCTCAAAGAAAGAAAATCCTCGATACACTCTTGTATCACTAAAAGGAATGAAAAAGTCAATCAAAGATGATGTGATATTGAACTAGAATGGCTATTACCAAAAAAAAGACTAAAAAGTCTTTAAACAATGCTAAGCATTAGAAAGTATTGAGAAGAGTGAAGAATACTTCACTCTTACCTCCATATATA